ACCCCCATAACAAATCTAAGCATACAATGGCCAAGTATGGAACTTAATACCTCAAAAGAGTCAGAAATGATGCCAATCTCCTAGATCTACAAGCTCTTGGTGGATCCTTACTTCTTCTTCAAGCTCCTTTCTCTTCTAAAGCACCAAACCTACACCAAGGTACTCTAAAATGGCTTCCAAATCACAAAGACACACAAATAGGGTTTAGGGTTTTCATGGTGGTTGTATAGAGATGAGAGGGAGGTTGGACCAAAGGCATAAGATCCTTTATATAGGGACCAAACCCTAAAAGTTAGGGTTTTAGAACATGCGCGTGTACACTGAGTGTACCCTTTGGTACGTTGAGCGTACGTGCATGGCCTTCCCACCCCAACCTCTTGAGTACGCTGCACGTACCAGGCATGGTATGCCCCATGTACTGCCTTTCTTAGCCCAAAACTTAAGTCCCAACAATCCTGGCCCAAACCAACAACAACCCATTAATCAATAAAATAAATAATATTAATACCTACAAATCCCAGATCTTACATCGGGTCTAGATATGAATCTTGCTCTGATACCAAATGTAGAGATTTCTATTTTACATTTCTACGAAAAGAGAAATCAATCATAGATCAATTGATTAAACACACAAAACGTAGAATTGATACAATTTAATCGATTGACACAAGTTTTCTTTTTCAATCTGCAGAATATTCGAATCGGAAAGAATGATTCAAAAAGATGCAAACATATGAGAAGAGAAAATTCAATCGATGATATGAATACCACTCTGATACCAAATGTAGAGTTATGAGCATTTGATTTGACATGCGGAATTGTAAAGAACACAATGAACATGGTGATTTAGGTGTCTAAGAGATGTAGTTGATTATGTAAGGAGTTACAAAAAAGTGTACAAGATCTTGAAAAATAAATAATTCACAGTCACTCTCAATGTTACATCCTTAATTACACTCTAATAGTGATATGCAAGCCACTATATATAAAGGTGATACAACTAGTCTCTCTCTCTCTCTCTCTATCTCTATCTCTATCTCTATCTCTATCTCTATATCTATATCTATCTATCTCTCTCTCTGTGTCTCTCTCTAATGTCATAAGGTTTAGTTACCACATATGAAAGTGGGTCTTCTCAAGCCAAGCCTTCACTAGTCATCTAATGGAGAACTTTGTACCCAACAATATCCCCTTATGTAGTTATATGGAAACCATAGAACATAGGGGGCATACTAACCCTACTAGACCGAATAAGGGGCAACGAATTGCCAATAGGCTCAACAATTTCATTATTAGGTTGAGAGATAGCGTCCTTAAATATTGCTTCATCAAATGACTCTCGAATTTCTTCAAGATCAATCGTACTTCCATTGCCCTCTTTGGAAATGAGCTCTCTCTCGTGAAAGACTCCTCGTCAATCTACAACACCATGTTGTCACCGAGTCTATAAAACAAGTATCCAAAGGACTTATGTGGATAACCGATGAAAAAAATACTTCTCGGCTTTGGGTTCAAGTTTGTATGATGTTTCTCACATAAAGAGAACCTCACAACCCGGACCTTGATATGTACGAGTGAGGGAGGTTTCCCTATCCACATTTCATGAGCTGTCTTGGAAACCTTCTTAGTTGGAACAAGATTAAGGATGCGGGTAGATGTTTCTAAGGCATACCCCCAGAATGATATTGTAAGAACAACTTGACTCATCATGGATGAATCCTTACCAAGTAAGGTCCGATTATTACTCTTGGCTACACCATTTAGTTATGGTGTCTTATGAGGTGTCAATTATGAAACAATTCCATATTCCTTCATATAGTCGTTAACTCGATACTAAGATACTCACCACCTCTACCAGATCGTAGCATCTTTATCTTCTTGCATAATTGGTTCTCTACTTCGTTCTTAAACTCTTTGAACTTTTCACTAGTTTCTAATTTATGTTTTATTAAGTAAATATAACCATGTCTACTATAATCATCCATAAATGTAACGTAGTAGCGATTTGCATCCTTTGTGGCAAATCTAAATGAACCACACACATTCCTATGGATGATGGCCAACATATCTTCACATCTTTCACATGTACTATAGAAAGGTGATTTGGTCATCTTGCCCATCAAACAAGACTCACATTCATCATCTGGTTTTTGATCAAACGGCTCCACTACTCCATCGTTTTGGAGTTGGGTGATGCATTTCTTGTTAATGTTCCCAAGATGATAATGTCATAAGCTTGACTTGACTAAGATATTAGAAGACCTAATACTATACACATTGTTGTCTAATTCATTAACAGAAACAATATTCTCATACACACCATCACAAGGATAAACTTTGAAAATAAATGCACCATTAAAAATACTAAAATTGTACCATCATTATTATCAAAACCATAATGACATCCTTGTCTAAATAAAGCATGAAAATAGATAATGTTTCGATCCATTTCTGGCGAATAGCAACAATTATCCAAATCAACCCTAATACTATCAAACATAAGCTTATAAGTCCCAATCCTGGTAACAACCGATATTCGCTTGTTCCCCATGATCAAGTCCAACTTCACATGTTCAACATCTTCACTTTCCTTTAGTCCCTACATATCATAAAAAATGTGGAAATCATATCCCATATCAAGAACCCAAGAATTTGAAGTGCAAGCATTTTTAACTTGAATAGAATACATAATAGAAGAAGAGTCGGTTGCTTTGGCCTAGGCATATTTCACTTCCTACAAGTACTTGGGGTAGCTTCCTCTCCAATGGCCCTTTTGGAAACAATGAAAGCACACAAATTCTTTTTGGAAAAGCAACAGGAGGAATATTGAAGTTGGGCTTTGCTTTGGATCGACTAGAATCTCCATGGTGGGCCTTTCCTTTCCATTTAGATTAGGAAGGGGCCTTTCTATTCTTCCCTCTGCTTTCTTGGACAACCATTACAGGAGCAGTTGTAGAACTATTGGAATGAGACTTCGTCATTCATGCCTCAGTCGTTTGCAACAAATTGTGACTTGATCATAACTACTAGATAGCAAATTAAGTACCATGTCAATGGTAAGGTCCTTATAAAAGTTCATGTTGAGGTGATCATAACTACTAGATAGCAAATTAAGTACCATGATCATAACTACTAGATAGCAAATTAAGTACAAATTGTGACCTGATCATAACTACTAGATAGCAAATTCTGCACATAACCAGTCACAGATTCCCCTTCTTTCGGCTTGCATGCCACGAGGGACTTGACCACTTCATAATGCTCTAGTTTTCCCGTTTTATGAAACATTTGAGAAAAGTTCGTGTTAAGCTCATATGACCAATAATCCTCATTAGTTTTTTGGAGCTCAAGTGTCATAGTTGTAATCATAATGCAAGAGACCTTGTTAGCATCATCCACGTGTTGATCATAATTATCAATTTCCTCATGGGTAGCAGTTTCTTTGTTGTTTTTTGGAAATGGAGTAGTGAGAACATACCCTTTTTTCTCATAATGAAGCATCATCTTCAGATTTCTCATCCAATCCATGTAGTTTGGACTGAAAAGCTTATCCTTAGAAAGGGCCGATAATACAATAAAGTTGTGGTTTGATGGAGGAGGAGGATGAAGTGGATGAGGAAGTTCACATTTTAAAGACATCTCTGGAAAATACAACATTTTAATTAGTTGATTTAATCCTTAATATTTTAACCTAATTAATATTCAAGACTAGGATCCAATACTGCAATTCACTACTAGAAAAAAGGCCTTTAATGACGTGCAATTTATGACGCGCACGAATTTACAATACGCAAAAGCGTGTGACGTCAAAATAACGTCATCTCTACAAAATTTTGAAGGGTTTTGGACGCGCATTTTTACGTGCCCTAAAATTTATGTCAGAAAAAAATAAAAATAAAAACACGGAGGCCACCCATCATAAAAGGCGTGTCGTGTATGTATGTCGCTTTATGATTCTTGAACGCGCCTCCAGACTATTTATTTTATCAAAAAAATCAAAGGGATCATTCTAGGGTTCTTTTAAAGATGGGAGTGCTCTCTACAACGTTCTCTACCTTGGCTCACCTCATCTACCAACAATCTCGACTCATCTCTTTTCGCCGGCAAGCTTGGGCTAACCTTACCTCGACGGAGACCGCCACAGATGCTCAAGTTTACAAGCCCTAGGTCAGGTTTAACGAACATCAGATCTTCTTTGTGATCTGTCTCGCACAACAAGCCTCCTTGTGTTGATCAGAAGTCACAGGGCTTGATTCCGAGAGTTCAATGACCATTAGATCTTATTTCACCCCTCTCTCCGTGCATTCTGTAAATTCCTCTCTAAATCCTCTCTTTGATGTCAATATCTCTATCTAGCCGAGAGAACAAAGGAGAAACATAACTGATTTTTTTTGGTTGCCCCTTATCGGAAAACACACACAAACACACCTTTTCTGTGTGCTTTCTCTTTCCTCATTCCTAAGCCCTAACTTCGACTCGGAATCCTACATCTCCAATCTACGAACCTTTGTCCCCTTTGAAACCCTAAGATCAGACCGTCTTCTCAAATTAGGGCTTGTGGTATCGATTCAAAACATGTATCCCACCGCATCCATCATCCATCAAAACATCCATATCCCAAAACGATTGTTTCTTCTTCAAAACCCATTGAACGAGCGTGCGTATGAAAAGTTAGAGAAAAACATATGGCATGCAGAAGGTGAAGCATATTCATCCAGTGGATCGTGATTTTTGGTCAAGATAACTCCATTTTCCTATTATAGGTCAACTGCAATCCATTATATGTCCTTCGCCTCTTCCCTTGTTCCCCCAATTCCTTCCCTATGCCACCTTCCTCTCTCTTCTTCCAGCGATACCCCAATTCCTTCATCAGACTCATCTCCGCTGCTTCACCAAGCGCCTCTCTATTGCACTGATCTTATTGTTTTCTTAGAGTTGGCAATTTGAAGTGTATAAGGTATTTGATTGAACGTTTGACTCTTTCTGTTCCCCTGATTCATATTATTCTAGCCCTAATTCGTTTTTTTCATAGCCCTAATTGCATTTTTTACATTCTTTTGCCTATATCAGCTAAACACTTAACCATGTTTCATAAGATACTTAAACACAACTGTGTTACCATATATTTTTACAATTTGTAATGTTGTGCTTGTGGTGTGATAGTAAACCATCAATTTTTGTTAATATGAAAAAAAAAATCAAAGTTTGAAATGCCCTTGACTGTGCAAATTTGTTTATATACAATCTGGTCTTGTAAACTTAGAGTTGGCTTGCACGTGGTTCATAAAATAGAGTACCTAATCTTTTTGAAGATTTCTTATGATATCTAAATTGCATGAAACTTTTCAAAAGAAAATTAAACTGAATAATTAGTTGATATTTGCATTTAAGTATAATAACTTAAATTTTCTATTAATTGATGCTGATCAACTTTTTGTATTGAAGCAGATCTTGAAGTGCTTATAATATTGTTTGGCATCTATCTTTTAATATGCCATGTAGGAAATAAAAGCTTATTGGTAAAGGGATGCTTCATCCCTACTTGTTGCTATTGGTTCTCATTTACCAGACCTTGTAAGTAATAGAAACAGTCCAAAAAGAATATCATCATTCTTTCACATCTATCTTTGTTCCAAAATGTATGCACAAAACTCAACTCTTCAAGAAACTCAGCAGAAAGAGGCATCCATTAAAATAATGGTTGACGACCCTGTAAAATCAGAGCACACTCGGTGGAATGCAAAGGTATATATTTTCTCTCCTAGATTTCTGACTTGAATTTGAGATTAAAATTTGTAATTTCTTTTGCTTATTTGATTCAGATTATATTAATGAGTGGACTCAGTCAAAATGCTTTGATTCAGATTTTATTAATGACTTGAATTCCCCATTTTTGCTTCTCTTAAAAATGGGAATACTTTCAAGGCAATTGGAGGCTTGTGGGAAACCACAGATGGCAATGATCCTTCAGTTGACAAATCCACTCTTGTTCACACTGATCTTAGGTTTGTTTTTGCATGATAACTTGTATATTCCCTCCCCCCCCCCCCCCTTTACAGATTTCTAGTTTATTGATTTATATTGTGTAGGTATGCCAAAGACCTCACAGGACTTGATTTTAAAAATTGCCAACATTGGAATCCTTTCCTCGAGGTAATCCGTTATTGTTTCGAGAGTTTATCTAATTAATTAATTAGATTTTCTTGTTATCTAATCATTTGATTATGTCCATTTTTGCAGATTCATTATGACCGAGTTAAAAAAGATGGAATATTTAGCCATAAGGAGGTCACAGTACTCTATGTTCCTGATTTATCAGATTGTTTACCTTCAACATATGCATGGAGGGATCAATGGCTTTCACACAAGAAAGCTATTGTTGAGAGAGAGCATCGATATGCTCTTAAAAGAGAGGTATACTGTTACTGCTTCATATTTTACATATATATATATATATATATATATATATATATATATATATATATATATATATATATATATATATATAATCGATTAGAAAAAAGGACAGATGAAACTAACATATTGAAACTAAAAGTTTTTCTTCCATCATATGTTTTGGTTTATATAGATAGCTCGAGGAAAGAAGGAAGGATTGAAAGGTAACTAACTTATTGATATTATCATACCTGAAAGTTATTTATTTTTATAAAAATGTTGTAAGTTTACCTTTTATAACTCTGTTGATTCTGCTTAGATAAGGAACCTGGGACACCCAAAGATCTGAAGAAGGATGCAAAATTAGAAAAAGAGAAAGTGCCTGAATCTGATGAGTCAGCATCAAAACTAAAAGAAATGGAAAAAGATAAAGTCAAAGAACCTGCAAAACGTAGGAGTTCATATTAATGCAGTAGATATAGAGAAGACAAATGTGGTTGAGACACCTGGCGAAGGGAATAACTCTGTAGAAAAGAAAACTGGTAGTGGAAAAAAGAAAATTATCAGAAAAGTTATAAAAAAGAAGGTTGTTAAAAAAGATAAAGCAGGAGACACAACCAAACAAACTGATACATTATTAGATTCCAAGAATGTGGGAGAGACTTCTACAGAGACAGAGACTGCAGGTCAAAGTCAAAGTCAAAGTTAAGGTCAAGGTCAAGAGTCAACTGGTAATACTCCTACTGTGAAAACTCTTACAAAAAAGAAAGTTATAAAAAAGGTTCATGTGGTGAAATCTGTTAAGAAAGAAGATGTAAGGACACAATCTGAAGTGACACTGTCAAAGAGAAAGAGAGTTCTGAAATCAAGCCAAAGAGTGCAGATACAGAAAGTCTTACAAGTGTGAAAAAAACTGTAAAAAAGAAAATAATAAAAAGGGTTGTGAAAAAAAAGGTTGTTGCTAAAGATAAAGTGGTAGATAAATCAAAAGTAACTATTGCGGAGGAACAAAGTGTTGCCCCTGAGCAGAAAAAAGATGAAAAGAAAGGTAAAATGGGTTCCAAAACGAAGGGTATTATTGTCCAGTCTGACAGTAATGAAAAATTGGAAACTGAGGAGAAGTTAAAGGAGGAGAAAGTGAAACAAGAGAAGGATGTTAAAGGTGAAACAAAGGGTAAAGAAGTAAAAGATAGTAAAAAGGATGAAGAGGTTCCTAGACACCCTGGGTTGTTTCTCTAAACAAAAGGGTGACAATCCCTTCATAATGTTTTAGCAGCTAGGTCAAAATTGTTTATTATATCTAAAAAGACCTAGTAAATCCTTTGTAAGTTGCAGATTTTCGATCATATTCATACCCACTACTCTTTCATCATTTCTTTCAAATTCCCACCTTACAATTACGATTTTTAGTGAAAAAATACATGTCTTTGAAAGCTTTTATGGGTACTTCGGTTTGATTTGTACAAGAGCTTTCTCTAATTCTGGTGATTTGCAGTTGTACACCAACTATTTGTTTAAATGTCTACACACCGATTGAAATCATGCTTCATTTATCTGAATTATTCTTGTTGCATGGTTTGTTAGTCAGGTTACCACACTTTCTAATGTTGAAGAAAAAAAGAGATTTGAATTTCTGGAAGCAGTGAGCGGTATGATGGATGCCCATCTTCGTTACCTCAAACGGGTAGACAATTCAATTCGATGGCAGCAGTGTGTGTTTGTGGAGCTTTCTAAAATCTAAATCTGAATTATTCTTGTTGTAGGGATATGAGCTTTTGCATCAGATGGAGTCGTATATAAATCAGGTTTGGTATTTATTTTAGTTTAGAGATTAGACATACAGAAAAGAAAAGAAGAATGCATGTTGTGTTTTATTTTAATTTTAATATAAAAAAACTGGGCAGGTGTTGACATATGGTCAACAATCTCAAGAGAGATCAAATTATGAGCAAGCAGCTCTGAACGAAAGAATGCAAGAGTACAAAAGACAAATTGATCGGGAGAGCAGGTGATCATGCAGTCTGCTTCAAAGGGAAAGGTTCAAACCATTCGCCAAGGATATCTTTCCAAGCGCTCCTCAAACCATCTGTAACTCAACTTCCTTTACTTTACTTTAGTCTTTACTTATTATTTTCGACAACAGGGCTCTGGCAGTCAAATATCTGTCAGAGGAATAGCTCTGAACTCGGTCATGGCCTGCTGAGTCGTTGGCTTTCTTCTCATCATCACCATGGTGGAGGCGGAGTACATGATGAGAAATTGTTGCTCATCACACTGTTAACCTCTTGACTTCAAATTTGAAGCAGACATGAACTACATTTACATGCAAGATTTCTGTAATTCTTCTCTAACCCTTGCTAAGGCAATGCTGTTGCAAGACCCGGGCCCAGGGGGTAGTGATTCAATCTCAATCTCATCAATGGCAGCCGTAGCAGGCACCAGTGAAGTGAAAGGACTTGGCATGGAGGAATTCCATGGGTACACCCTCCTCCATCTTGCTTGTGAAACTGCAGATATTTGGATGATTGAGCTGCTCTTACAGTATGGTGTAGCTGTGCTTTCTGGAAATAGAAACTTTGAATTGCGTGTTCACCCACTAACAAGAGCCAATTACTTGGCTTCACCTCCCTTGGTTGTAGCTTACGCACTTGTCGGCACGGTATGTGTAAAATTACTCTTCTACCCTCAAAGAAACACACAACACAAATTCATATCATGTTTTGCATGTTGTGAGTTTTAGGTCGAAATCGACTTCGAAAACGAACCAACGGGAGCACAAAGGACGTAAAGAATGCCTACTTTAGAGACGTTTTGCCAAGCACCGAAGAAATCGCACATGTATATATATATATATATATATATATATATATATATATATATATATATATATATATATATATATATATATATATATAGCTTACAAACTGTAGAATGTGTTTAGTAGTGAATCTCATAGGCACAAAATGGTAAATTTGCAGGTGGTTCAATCAGTGTCATTTATTAATATTTGGAATTACAGCCTCTCTATGTTTGACTAAAACCTTCTGATTTTGTTGACTTTTTAACTTTGTTTTTGGTTTCATTTAGTAATAAAGTATCAAATATCAACAGTTATGTGGTAGTAATACTTCTGAGGGGGTGTTTGTGGGCTGCTTCTTTCAATGTCATTAACAACAGTGGTAAGTAAAATCTTACTATTATGAAACTCTTTTGCTTAAACCTACCTTATTGACTGTAGGTGATTACACATTAATTTAATTATGCAGGTTTTGAAGTTTTTGATGAAAAGAATAGTGTTAATGCTCTTCATAGAAAAGTATCACATCCAATTGGGAAGTAAATATAAGCATATCTTGCGGGGGTAAAATGGTAATTTGTGTAATTTTATAACCAAACACAAATTACCAGGCAAATACATAAGAACAGGAGAATCTTTTAGAGGCCTGTTACAGGCAACAGGGCAAAACATTGTTGAGATCATGTCTGGAGATGATCATCTCCAAACATGATCTCAACATGGTTTTGCCCTGTTGCCTGTAATAGGCCTCTAAAAGATTCTCCCGTTCTTATGTATTTGCCTGGTAATTTGTGTTTGGTTATAAAATTACACAAATTACCATTTTACCCCCGCAAGATATGCTTATATTTACTTCCCAATTGGATGTGATACTTTGTGTAGGTTTGGAAGGAACTGGAACTGGCCTTGTTGTACATGAGAAAACTCTTGGAAAGTGAGTTGAATTTGGCTAAGTAATTATTGAGTGAGATGGGCCAATGTACAACTGCTTATCCATATAATCAGCTGTTTGGAGCATTAGTCTTAAAAAATTATGAAAGGCAAGATGAAACTTAGTTGGAATTTGATGTACATAGTAGATTAGATGCAAATTTATATATTGTAAGAAATACAATTGTATAACATTAAATTTATGCAATGGATTCTATTTTTTGTATATCATATTTTATTTTCTATTATGAAACATTAAATACAAATTTAATTTGAAAATAAGTAAATCTATAAATAATATTTTTTTAAACATTTAAAATTATGATACGCAAAAATGTGTGTCATCTTCATTTATGACATGGCCTTTCTTGACAGGGGCTTTCTTGATACGCATTGCGTGTCATTAACACGCGCGTCGTAAGGTTACGACAAGCGAATGCGTGTCGTCTTCCTTTATGACAGGGCCTTCCTTGATACGCATTGCGTGTCGTAAACGCGCGTCGTAATTGCGCATCGTAAATGAGCGTCGTCTCTCTTTATGACAGGGCCTTCCTTGACGCGCATTTGCGCGTCGTCTGAGCCTTTTACGACGCGCAATGAGCGTCGTAAAAGGCTGTTTTTCTAGTAGTGATTTGAAATTAAGAAAAGGGATGTCGTAATCTAATCATAAATTCATTTAAGGTAGGTCATTCAATTTACCAATTTCAATATATATAAAATTCATAGATTATTTGAGGTTCATTGAATCTTATCAATGGCATGTTTAATCTCAGATTATGCTCTTTAATTTGCGACTGGGATACCGAGGATCACAAATAAGATGTGAATAACCATGCAAACCCGCTTTATAACCTAGACATTTTTATCATATCAAATTGATGTGTCGGTAGACCACACACGCTCCATCAGTTAATGATAATTTTTGAGTTGTATCATCATAACAACTTTATAGTCCCAAATTAGGGTGATGGTTAACCAAAAACACTCAACTAATGACTCATAAAAATTGATGTGCGTTTTCATGGATTAGCATGCATTTTCACAATTTCCTAAAGTAACTAGAGTGAAATTTTAAAAAGGTTCTAGTACTTTATAGCATTATAAGTTTAATGAGTTTATGTCCTATCGAACCCATTTTACTAACGACCCTCCACCATACAGGAGAGCGGTGGGTGAAAGGACACCAATTTAACGGTCAATTTTATATGCCGTTTCCTTATACCATATTTATAACATGGCTTAGTAATTGAGACATACTAACTGAAACAACCCTAAAAATACAATCCAAAAATTTTTGTTTAAAACATTACTAAAACCATGAAGTTAATCATCATATAATAAAACCATGAATTACATGTCTCAAATGTAAAAGTGAATGTATCAAATCAACTGATGTCAAAACATATCAAAACATCCGAATAAAAACTCCCAAGATAAATTGAAGCTATGGTGTATGCCATGCCATCATCCCGAGCTCTTCCATTTACTTGCGGAAGTACCTGAAACCAAAAACTGAAACTGTAAGCACAAAGCTTAGTGAGTTCCCCCAATCTACCACATACCATGCAATAACATATAAAGCATACTGGGCCTTGCCCACTTCATCGGACCGAAGTCCAGAAACTACATCGGACCGAAGTCCGGAACTAACCAGGGCCTTGCCCTCTACATTCAAACCAAAATATGGAAACTACATCGGACCGAAGTCTGGAACTAACCAGGGCCTTGCCCTTTGCATCAAACCGAAGTCTGAAAACTAAACTGAACATAGCATGACATAACATAACTACTAGCATAAACACAAATAAGGCATACTGCATCGGATCGAAGTCCAGAACATATAATACAAGACATGCTTGAATCACAAAGACATCAAACACACTAAGCTACTGCATCGGACCTAAGTCCGAAACTGCTGCTAACTATACGAGTCGTCATTTGTGGTCGTAGACCCATTCCTACTGAAAGAAAAACTCACCTAGTAACGCTAGCTGTTGAGATGCTAAATCTGAAACTGGCTGACTGCTGCTCCGGAACTCCCCGGTTACAAATTCCACAGATACTAAATCAAATACGGATAACTGTTCTCAGGTAAAATAATAATTTACCCGTGGTCAAAGTCAACCTCCTGGTCAAAGTCAACTTTCAGTTGACCGGACTCGTTGAGTTGGGCCGTCACTGCCGAGTCCCTAACACCTTTTCTAATCCTCTACTCGTTTCAACCTCGTGGAGTTTGGCAACAACTTGACGATTTCTTCTTTCGAGTTAACTTCGAATCTAACTTTATCCGACTCGCCGAGTTGTATGAACAACTCGTCGAGTTCTCCTTCATCATATGAACACGTCCAGACTGTGACTCGCCGAGTTGTATAAATAACTCGTCGAGTCTGTTCTTGAGGCAAGAAAATTGCCTTGGACTCGTCGAGTCACGGCGTGGACTCGCGGAGTCTCCTGCATGCCACTACTATACAATCGCTTCTAGTTGGTCTCAATGCGTCCAATTCATAGATCTTGGCTTATAGGGATGGTTTTGAAAGTAAAGTTTCCAACTTTACGTGCATGCACACGAGAATGGGGCTAAAACACCAAAATCATCCAACACTAATGTAACGCCCGTAGATCCGGGCTAGTCAATTTAGAGACGATAGGCGTCAAAAATGACTTTTTGATGGAAGATTATCTAGAAGGATTAATCTTAACCAAGTTGTAGTATATGTCACAAGGTTTCCGTGCATATAAAGAACGCCAAAATCCGAGTTATAACGAAGAAGTTATGACCCGTCGAAGTTTCGCGACAGAACCAGCACGACGATGCAACGTAAAAAGTGAATTTACGTTAGAGCGGTATTTAGCCGAAGCAATCTAAATGAGAATCTAAGATCTCATTGTTGGTATCGAATCGATAAAAAGTTAGGCGAGAACGGACGTCAAACGAAGAAGTTATGAATTTTTAACGAAAGTTTCTGTCCCGGCCTATTAAAAATAAATAATAAAAATAAAATTCAAAATTAGCCGACAGAGTCTAAACGAAAGTTATAGATCGTAGTCTCACCTTCGCGTGGATATAAAGAACATCGAAAACGGAGCTCGTATGCAAAAGTTACGCAAGTTTGAAGTTTGCTTAATAGCGTACGCCCCGCGTAATTTAGGGTACGCCCAGCGTACCCGTGAACCGCCTCAGCTACGCATGCAATGACGTCACTTGAACACATACGCATGCAATGACGTTGAGTACGCCCTGCGTAACCTGAGTACGCCCCGCGTAATTTGAGTACGCCCCGCGTAATCCCAGACCCAACAGCCTATAAATAGAACTCAAATTCAGCCATTTTTTCTTGTTCAAACTCTTCCTCTCTCTAAGTTTTGCCCGATTTGCGTGCCAATCATACCCCGAAGCCCCGGTAATATTCCCGAGTCCCGAAGCAAGTCCCGATATCCCGAAGATCCCGAGAAGTGCGGTTTCCGAGCCGAAGCTCTGCCCGCGAGAAGTTCGATTTTCGTAGAGATCTTCCAGATCTGCTGAGGATTACTACTTTTGCAAGTCGTAGTGCTGTCCGATCATCTTCTGATCAAGTGAGTGTATACTACCTTTCATAAACACAATAATAATACAAGTATGGTTTGAGTGTATTTGGTATATTGTCGTTTATATGTGTGAGTGTGTGGTTACTTTCTTTAACACATAAATATGAAGTATTTGGTATAAAATACGTGCTATGTGTTTATATATTGTTGCTTATTTGAGATGAGTATGGAATGAATGTTTTATATAGTTTTTAAATGAGTTAAACTGTATGTGTATTCTATATCTACAAATATGTTGGGTAGAACATGGGTAGATGAGATAGTTGGTATGTGATGTGATAAAGTGATGAGGTATGAAAGATGATTAAGAATGATATTGGTAGATGCACCTATTAAAGAATGTCATAAAATTAGCAGATGTGCTGGAGAATAATGTCGGCAGATGCGCCAAATAGAGATTGTCATAATAATAGCAGATGCGCTTATAGAGTAATCCTGGCAGATGCGCTTATAGGATAATGTCGGCAGATGCGCCAAATAGAGATTTCATAATAATAGCAGATGCGCTTATAGGGTAATCTTGGCAGATGCGCTTATAAGATAATGTCGACAATGCACATAAAAGAAAATGTCATAAACCTGGCAGTCGCGCCTCATAATGTATGACGTAATCCTGGCAGAGGCGCTTAAAGGATGATGTTGGTAGATGCGCCTTATGTAGCAATAGATTTTTGTGCTAATTCCTTTGGTCAATCCTAGGAATGAATGAATGACGGGTAGTTGAATTCTTAGGGTAAAATCCTAAGAAATAAAGGAGATAATGGGGATGGGTAATTGGGTTGATTGTTTGATGGTTGATTATAATAATTATATTATTGTGGGTTGAAAACCCTATATGCTCACCAGGCTCCCAAGCCTGACCCACTCAGTTTTCTTTGCATTACAGGTAATGACAAGAGTATAAGTTGGTGGACTTGACGAGAGGTTTTGGATTATAGATCAGTAGTTGAATAACTATTGTAAGGTCTATTTATATTGTTTATGCTTTTGGTCTATATCGGAACATGACATCCCGAGGTTTTATTATTTAATGGAAATACATTCTCTTTGAGAAATGTTTTGATAAATGGTTATTATATTTTATTTTGGAAACAAATTCCGCAACCGTTTTCTTTAAACGATCACTCTGATTTATAAAACAAAGCATAAACAAATCGGTCTTTTCTGGCCGTGAAATTGGGGATGTCACAGTTGGTATCAGAGCATTAGTTTAAGCGAACTAGGAATTTGTAGGATTTCTAGACTTAAACTTAGAGTGCTAAGTAATGGTTGTGAGGAGTGTGTCTAAAATATTTAGGTAGTACACCTTAAATTGACACAAGCACTAGTTTATTTTAGCAATGATGCCTAAAATGCTCTTATGTGCAAAATGTTTTGTGTGATAGCTATATTGATGCTATTATTTGTTTGGATCTATGGTTTGTTGCCGACCGGATCTGGAAACCTTATGTGTGTAGGATTCTAAGCGTACGTCTACGATATTAGAACTAGCATGTAAACGTTTCGGAGTGATAAGGATGAGTTGAATATCTATCGTGAATGAGGATCTAATTTCACCTTATTCGGTGTATAGATCAAAAATGGTGAGAACAAGAAGTGGAGTTGGAAATGCTGATGAAAACAGGAATCAACCACCAGTGATTGAACAAGTACCTGTCGTAGTAGCAGCACCTGAGCCAATAACCATGGCTGGTGTGCAAATGATGATTCAGACGATGTTGGATCATCAGATGGATGAAACTAGACGGTTGCTTCAACAGAATCGTGAAGAACTGTCAATTCGTGTGGAGGAGCCTGAATTAAATGAAGGGCACTCGGAAGGTGGAGACTTCAGTGGGTCTGTTAGTCAAGCCAACCCACCGATAGTTAGGCAAGACAACCATGGTGGAAGGAATGATGGAATGGGATGCAAGTACAAGGACTTTCTAACTTGCAAACCATCGACCTTCAATGGAAAGGAGGATCCGATTGGAGTTATGGATTGGATTTCCGAAATGGAGTTAGCCTTCATGACTTGTGGCTGCAGAGGCAAGTTGCAAACTATCTATGCAGTACGTCAGTTCAGGGGTGGGGCTGTTCGTTGGTGGAACACTTTGGGGAAGATCCTAAGTCCTAATGAGCCACTGCAACTGACCTGGGCAGAATTCTTGGTGCAATTCAAGCGCAAGTTCTGCTCTGCTCAAAATCTATTGGAGTTGGAGAATAAGTTTCTGATATTGAAGAAAGGCAGCATGTCAGTGGATGAATACACTAATGCCTTCACAGACAAGATGGAGTTTGCTTTACGCATCGTCCCAGACGAGCTGACAAAAGTCGACCGGTACGCAAAGGGACTCCCTTGGGAGTATGCGGTGCCAGTACGTCAGGCACCTACCTTAGAGGCAGCTATTTGGGCTGCCAAGTCTGTTGAGAATATGATCAAGGGGAGGACTGACAGTAAGGTTGAAGTTGGCGAGAAGAAGAAAGTTGGAAGGAACTTCAGGTTCTAATGAGAAAGGAAAATTCTCAAAGTCTGGAGGAGGAGGAAGGGATGAGGCAAGGTGGTGCGATAAGTGCAAAAAGAAGCACTCAGGAAAATGTGGCGTGGAGGTGACATGTTTCAAGTGTGGAAAGCATGGCACTACGCCGATGAATGTATTTTCAACAAAAAAGGTGTGTTACGAATGTAATGAAGGGGGCACTTCAAGCAAATTGCCCAAGGAAAAATCAAGCAGCAAGGCTAGAGG